TTTCCATTTCTTCACTGTAGATACAGGAGGTAAATATTTCATGCCAATAAAGCATATTAAACTGAAAACTTAGACTAATCGAAAAAGTGAGTTATAGAGTGAATATTTGTTTGTGTGATATATACAGTATACTGTGTTAGCAGGTTAAAAAGGATGAAACCAACAGCTCAACAGAACGTGCAGTGAGGAGATGAATGAAACAGGAAGCGCAGTTAACAGGATGATGCAGTGACTGTGTACTCGGTTCATGTTTCATTTGCCTAAAGAGACTACACACTACTGTTGCCTGGCTCTCGCTAGGACACACAGAAGACTTAAACAACCTGCTGAAGAAACAAAGACACAATGAGCTGTTTCTGAGTGTGTTTATGTAACTCACGGGCAGTTCAGGAGCATTTACCCAGAGTTCTCCTTGATGTTTTCAACTACTGTATCTGGAGCCCCACATGACAAAGACCTCATTAATGTCTGTTAGGCCAAATAGTGCAGAACCAAAACAAAGGCTGGAGGTCTTTGTCTGAGAGCCAGCACTGTACAACTGAAAACAAATGCCTCAGATTCCCAGACACTTAGCAAACGCATTTTGCGAACAATTTTGCCATAATACATCAAGCGCACAGACGCATGCATGCACACACACATGAACATACACACACTTGAGAGATGAACTGATGTTGGAGTGAATGAAAAAATGGATGCGTGTTGCATACAAATGCACATACACACATTCGTAGCCACACACACTCACAATTATTTATCTGCTAAAGGGTGGCGTAGTCGAAGTGAAATAAGTTGTTCCTTCAGAAGATGATGGATCAATGGCTCTTCCAGCTAAAACAGGGTTATTAATCCTAAACGGTGTGTGCTACCAGACCTCTCGCCTGCAATAGCAAACCACCTCCTTATGTAAAACATTAACTGAAATAAAAGCCAAGTTTGTCTCCAAGAGGGCTGGGTATGAATCTATTACCACAGACACTGGACAGATATAATATTTCACATCTGTGTACAATATTCATAATGACAGTGAGCGGAACAGGGGAGGTTTGGCTGCATGAGTATTTCTATGAGAACATAAGGCATTTCCTGTAATGAAAATATTGTATTACACACACACACACACACACACACACACATTAATATATTTAAAGAATGGGAGAAATTGCAATGCTCAGTATGGCAGCTGTGGGATTTGAAGACCCATCTTTGAGTTAAAAGACCAACTGCTTTGGCAAAGTCATCAAATTACTCTACAACAGTGTTAATTTTGACAGCAAATTTTGATTTAGTTTTAGTCATATTTTAATAATCTGAATTGTTTTATTTTTAGTTTTAGTCTAGTTTTAGTCGACTAAATATCATTAGATTTTAGAAATCTAATGGCTAAAATCTAATGGCTTTAGTTACAGTGTAATGCATTTATTAAGCATTTCTCTAAAAATGTTTAAACTCATCATAGATTCCTGGATAAAACATCTATTAACCTATTAATATGAATTATATTAAGGATTGAACATGCAATATAGACACAGATTTAACTGCTGTGACACATAACTTGTCTTATATCTTAAAATTAAATTAAACCACTTATAAAGAAACAAGAACATGGTCTACTTTTCAATTAAATACCAATGGTTATATAATATGAATTCTTTATAACAACATGCTTAAAACATTCTTCATACTTTCAAGCAGACGTATTTATTTATATAAATTACATTTAGATTAATCCTTACTAGGGCTACTAATGTGATTCAGTCAAGAGCAGTGAGTGATTTTTTTTCTCTTTCTTTTGTTGATTGATTAATATTAATGGCACGGACAACAGCAACTAAATTAGGCCTCTTTCCCTTTAAAACCGATTAAAACCATGCTTTATACTGATACACATCCGATATTCTCCCAACTGTTTACAATGACTTAAGACTTAACCGAGTGTGTTTACATGAATACTCATCAAAACAGACAATTTGACATCATTTTGTGTGTATTTCTCCATTCATGTGAGATAAGACATGAAAGAGAACTGATTTTAGTACTCGTGCGCTGTCTGAGAGGCGCTTTTCTGTGCGCGTGATTCGGGTGTGTGCACTCAGAAAACCGGACTTTTTCAAATTTATCCCTATGTCTGCTCTTCTCTTACTCCCAGACGTTGACATTTTTGAACGTTTTATGAGACGTGCATGCTAGCAAGTGTATGCTAGCTTATGTCCCATTTAGATCAGTACAGCTCAAATGTGCACATCTAACCCCAGGCAAAGCAGAAGATTCGTTCTGACTGGATCTCTTCCCAAATCGTCCCTCCCTTTCATTTCGTTTTTGTCTCTTTTTTTATTCGTTGACAAATATAAATAGATTCTTATCATAGTTTTTGTCATTCAAAACACATTTTTATTTCCTAATAGTCTAATTTTCGTTGGTTTAAAAAAAAAAATATTCGTCAATGAAATTAACACTGCTCTACAACACACATGCATATTAGCTGGACCTAATACTAAAGAACAACTCTGTTTTTTAGCATGATTTGAACTTAAATTTTTGAAACCACAATAATACCATGTTTTTGTAAATGCACTATGGAATACCATGGTGTTTTTTTTTAAGTACCATGGCATATTATGTAAATACTATGATATATGAATATGACAATCATTCAGTACCATGGTATACTACCATAGTATTATCATCTGATACATCATCGGATTCAACACTGTACCATGGTACCACAGTGCTTTTGTAAACGACAGCAAAAAAATGCCTGAAATAAAGCAAATAAAAATACTCTTAATTTAAACTCCACAGAACTCAGTTCATCTTCTCATGAAGGCGTTAGAGGGCAGAGAAAAACTCGTCCCACACCAGAGATGGACAGAGTTCAGAAACAGTAATATTCATACCATCCCACACTTCCGCCCTCTCCTCAGCTCCCGGCCCACTGTTATCCAGGGTTATAATTAGAGCGATTCTCCCGAGGAGCACCACTTCAAAAGCAAACACAATACACATACATATGTACGAAATCATTAGCTTTCATTTACAGCTCAAACTACTACCAGTAAATTACTTCCCTCAGCTCAAATGGCTATGCCACGCTAAAAAATTCAGCACTCTCTTGATGAGGGCATTATGCATTTTAAATTGTTTGCTACGCTACGTTACGAGCGGACCGCATTACTGTTGTGCCTGTGGAAACATGGCCTAGATAAAGCGTGCATCAACTTAATGATTTCAAGGTCAGGGTGAGAGAAACCAACACAAACACAATCACAACACGAGTGGAGGGCTTGCTTTCCTTTTTCTGCCTTCTTTACTGTCATACTTTCTTTGCTTATGAGACACCGTACCTAGAACCACTTCCAGTCAGAGAGAGAAAAAATACATATATATATATATATATATATATATATATTTATATTTGAGTTGCATACATTTATGAGCGTCAGAGCATCTGTCTATCACGGAAATAAACAACGGGGAGAAGTGTGAGGTGTCAGAGAGGGGAGATATGAAGCTGATGTGGCTAATATTGGACTATTGGTATGTTTTCTTAGCATTATGCACTCTGGGAATCCCGATGAGTACAGTGTGTGCGAAACGCACTCCTCGAGAAAAGCTGCAGACACGTGAAGCAGGCAGCTCCATTTTAAGCCCCACTCTCTTTCTGTCTGTCTCTACTTGTGTTGAAATCCTGGAGGAGGAGTGTTACTCTTTCATGTTCGGTTAAAGGGATGGTCCACACGACAGGCTATGCACACAGGCATTTCACATGAAAAGAATTGCAAATGTGCTCCAATTCTCAGACGAGTTAAACTTCCAACTTCTAATACAGCCGCGATAAAAGAGTCTTTCTAGGCATGAAAGAGAGACAAAAAAAGATAGCACATGTATGACAAGCACACTGTATCGATAGTGACAGACATTCAAACATATTTCCAGTATGGCTCATGGATAGAAAACGGTTACAAAACTTAGCAGCATTTAAAAGGTCTCAATATAGCATATTGGTCTCTATGAGGAAGACCAATCCATGTGGAATAAAACTGATATTAAATACTATCATTAATATTAGGGATGCACTGATAAGACATCGGTAAGCTGATAATTATTTTTATGTTGTTTGATAACCGATTAATGAACAATAATATTACAATTCTATATTGTTTTGTCTTGACAGATAAAAAAAAAACAATTAAGATCATAACATTATAATGTCCAATATGAAAAATAGACATTCATTTTGAGATTTGCTAAAGATTACATTTAACAGTCTTATTAAATTATCAGTGCTTTAACTTTAAGTGAGCGTTTGATGATGGCAAACATAATACAAATGAAAAATAGTGAAAATGAGTGTCCAAGTAAATGTCCGTTGTTGAAAGAATGATCTTGTGCTCAACAGGATTCCATTTATTTGATCAAAAAGTACAGTAAAAAAAAGTAAATATTATTACAATTTCAAATAAATGTTTTCTATTTTAATTTATTTTACAATTACATTTATTCCAGTGATGGCAATGCTAAATTTCAGTAGCCAGTCTTCAATGTCACATGACACTTTTAATATGTTGATTTGCTGCTCAAGAAACATTTCTTATTATCAATACTAAAACAGTTGTGTTGCTTAATATTTGTTTAAACCATGATGGAATTGAAATAGAAATCTTCTGTAACATTATAAATATCTTTACTATTACTTTTAATACCTTTGTCTACTCATACATTACAAAGACCATGGTTTGTTTTCATTCTATTAAAGTAATTTTGTGTTTAGATGTTCAAATGTAGTTCAAATGTACTATTTGTTTTGTTTCTACAGCCTTTAAGTCAAAATGAAGAGTCAAACTTTATCAGTTTAGCTGATGAAAAGGCAATCTGCAAGCAAATGCGCCGCAGACGACAGAAATATATTAGCACTAGATATCTGTGTGGCCTTCTCCTTGAACATCTCATTGCGGCACGGACCGACAGTGAGATAAAGACACAGCGAGCCCATCACTCACCCGCACATCGCTCATAGATGCTGTTCATCACCATGGGGGGCTGAGTGCTGCCATCTGATTGGCCGAGGTGCCCTGCCTGCCCCACGCAGCTATCAAAGGATCGATTGAGAATTTGCCGTGCTTCCTGGAACTCCTGCGAGAGAAAATGAGAGAAGCCGTGTCACTGCATTGATTCTGTTTGTGAATTATGGAAACAGAAGAGGCAAATCTGAGCGCTGGGATAGGTAAAGACTTTCAAATAGCAGGCAGATCGTTACGCCGGCTTCGGGATTCATCACAAAACAAATACCACATTAAGACTCGGGTTTTGGAGGAAAGAAAAGAACGAGAGATGAAAACAGCACAAGAATCTGCTCCTGGAAGTGCTCTTAATTCATCTGATTAGTCTAGATGTCAGTGGCATGAAGGATTTAAGCCACTCACACAGATGTTACAGATTTTCTGTCTCTTTTCCCCAGAGAGAAAAACAGAATGGTAATTCATTTCATTATCTTGCCCCCAGGCCTGAAGCGTCACTATGAAATATGTTAATTCGATTGGCAGATTTCAAATGCTAGAGAGGCAGGGTGCAGTGCATCAGATGGGTCTTCTAATGGCCTGCTCGGATACTGCACATGCTGCCGGCATTTGGTTAACTGTGGATCATTAGGAAAGCAAACTGCTCGCATAAAATATTGTAAATCAAGGTGTGTGTGTGTGTGTGTGTCTGTGTGTGTTTTTTAGGCCCTGAGTGTCTGAAGGTCTTAAAACAGCAATTATGGAGAGGGACAAGAAGTTGTGTCTCCACTGCAACAGAGGGCACCAGGGCACCTGTTCAGCGTTGTTATGTTTAAGTTACAGTTCATTTAAGTTTACTGCCACATCAGCTTCATAGGCTATTTCATGGCAAAGATTATACATTAATAATATAGTAGAACACAAAATACATATACAATAAACATAAATAAATTAATAAAAACAATTATAAAACAAAGTATTACACATACATTTCTATAAAAGATATTTTAAATTTACTTTTGAAAGAAATTGCTAAAGTTTTCTGTTGTTGTTATGTTTAAGCATTCATGTTTTAATGTTAAGATTTGGCTGAGGTGATTAGGCAATATATTGCAGACTAAAGGCTGGAATACAATTCCTGATCGGAACAGATTTTAAAACACTGGGCATCATACTGTACATTTATTGACATTAGAGAATAACCGGGCATCATACACTAAATGACTGAGGATCAAATGTTACTATACTTTCAAGTAGCGCAGAACACAAGCGTTGCTATGAGATGCACGACGAATGAAAATAATTGCTATGTCCAAATATTCCTACTTCCATACTAAATTGTATGTAAAAAAAAAAAAAAAAAAACACAAAAACACTAAGCAGGGCAAAAGACGACTATGTCCAAATTCATAGTAGTCAATAAACAGTGTGTGAAAAGTAAACAAGCGTTGCTATGAGATGCACGACGAATGAAAATAATTGCTATGTCCAAATATTCCTACTTCCATACTAAATTGTATGTAAAAAAAAAACAAAAAAAAAACACTAAGCAGGGCAAAAGACGACTATGTCCAAATTCATAGTAGTCAATAAACAGTGTGTGAAAAGTACCAACATACACTACGATTTTCTGTGAAATCTGTCAACTTCAATAATTAGCACAGATTCGTACAGCGTAAAATAAGGCAAATATTTGTGCAAAAGTCCTGGAGTGTTTTTAAGCCTTAAAAGGTACAGTGGCAGACACAGTTTGTTTAATTCAAAGGCTGAGAGATAGTGGAAAATGGTTGTGTATAACTAAATTGAGAGTGGTTTTGGTGCAAGAAAGCTTGACTAACATTTTAAGTGGACTTTGGGGAAAAACAAAACGCTACAGAAGTGTATAATGTGGCCCTTTTAATGTTAACGGCAGTAAGAGCAGGTCTATGGAGGGGGTGGCCTGTGGGGAACAGAACGCAGGCTGCCGGGAGAGGAAACAGTGACTGGGACTAAATTAGATCAGGAGGGGATCAATGAGGATTCCCAAGCCAACGTTTCCATTTCCCTTGTAATATTTATCAGAATAAAAAGGAGGACATAGAGCTTGCAATTTTGAAGGGACGAGATTCTGAACACGCAGCTGAATCAATAAAAATTAACAGGAAATGTTGGCGGTGGGAAGAGAGAGTGTAAAACTTGTAGTGTAGAGTGTTTTAGGAGGCTCATGCAGTGGATGGAAATGTTGCAACAATATTGACGTTCACATTCGCAGAATTAAGGCAGCAATCAGGAACCAGAATTTAGAATTTAAATTTAAGGAAGCTGAATTAAAATCAAATTAAGTTTAAAGAAATCCACAACACTGCTGTAATGTAGTTCTAGGGATGTTTCTGATACACTTTTACAATTAGAATATATTTTATCAAATTGTGTCATTTATTTTATAACATTGCAGTATCTGAAAATAATGTGAACATTTTGTGATGTGTAACAAAATTACTGTATTTGTGGCTGGTTTTTTGAGATTATGGACATTTCATTATTTATTAATACTAAAATGAAATGAAATTATAATGAAATTCCTTTGTTGCATGTTGTTTAGTAAATTATTTTACTGACTTTGTCATTTCTATTGAACTTCATATTGGGTGTGGCCAATTTAATTCACATTTACACTTACAAACTGAAAAGGAGGCAATTCTTGAGGGTCGTTCACACCAAGAACAATAAGAATAACTGTATTTGCATCCACACAAATGGATAACAACATTAGGTTTATTAAAAGTGTGTGCTGCAGTTTTGTTGTCTGCCGCTTTAAATATTCAAATTCATTAAAGTAGGGTGGATTCTGATTGGCTGTCAGTGTCTTTCATCAGCTGAAAAACAACAACAACAAAAACCCGCTGAAAGTGATTCCAACGACATCAATGTTATCATTATAGCTTCATTCAGTGTTAAACTGATTGAACCATCTCAGTTTGGACAACATTCTGTCTGTTTGTGATCCTGCTGTAGGCTCTTTGTGACGAGAGGTCAACAAGGTTTTCAGCATTTCATTTACAGAAATGTTGAAAATGACACAAAAACAGTGGTCAGAGGATAAAAGGTACGTCGTTTCCCACAGCCTCTCTCCCCATGTGTTCTCCATCCTCAGACAATACTCTGTCTGTTAGCCTCATCTACACCTCTCTGCTCAAAGTCCCATCCATAAAATCTCCTCAGACTCCACTTACGTCTTAATCAACATCACAAAGCGTACAGTTCAACCTGCTGTTAAAGACAAAAGTGGTCTGGCAGGCCTGTACGACTGCATGCAGCACCAGAGCAAACCTCCCAGCGCTCCTCTGGCACAAGATGAGGAGGAAACAGTCTCTAGGGCACAGATCATGTGGGCTCTCCACGGGCTACTTTTCATTATTAATGCCCACGCTGTAATGAGATTATGACAGTGCTGTTTAGATGGCTGTCTGAGAGAAATGGTGAGAAGGATTGATTAGATCAGACTCTGCTATAATAGTGTTTAGTCTGCAGAGAGAAGAGAGATGGCACTGCCATGGTATATCTCCATAAAATCATTCAATCTATACCAGATTTTTTTTTTTTAGATTCTATATTTCGGAGTCTATATCTATCTATC